CTATCTACGTGTTCACCAGCAGGGCTTTGGGGCAGTGGGCGTCTCGAGGAAATACGGAAAACGCTCGTATGCACGATATCCGATCTTCTGGGGACTGAAGAAAGTCGGCAACCTACCCAATCCCGATCCATCAGACACTGGCGAATGGAACAAACAGCTGCCCAAGGACTCTGATATTACTGTCGACCCAGAATTTGAAGCTAAACGAGCAGAGCTTAAAAGGCAAGCTCAGGAATGGGCAGGTCTGGACCAAAATCCGGATGCAGATTTGCTAGTATTTGTCGGGCGTTGGTCGATGCAGAAAGGGGTTGACCTCATCGCTGATGTTTTCCCTGCTGTCCTGGAAGCACGCGAGAATGTTCAGTTAATATGTATCGGGCCAGTGATCGACCTTTATGGAAAATTTGCTGCTTTGAAGCTCGAGAAGATGATGAAGCTTTATCCTGGCCGTGTTTTCTCTAGACCTGAATTTACAGCTCTCCCACCGTATATCTTTAGCGGAGCTGAGTTTGCATTGATTCCATCTAGAGATGAGCCTTTCGGATTGGTAGCTGTCGAGTTTGGTCGGAAAGGCGCTCTCGGCATCGGTGCAAGGGTTGGTGGTCTTGGGCAAATGCCAGGTTGGTGGTATACCGTTGAATCTACCACCACTAGCCATCTCCTTAATCAGTTCAAATTGGCGATCGACAGTGCACTGAATTCGAAACCTGAGGTGAGAGCCATGATGCGTGCGAGGTCCGCAACACAGAGGTTTCCTGTTGCCCAGTGGGTGGAAGACCTCGAAATCCTCCAAAGTACAGCAATTAGGATCCATAACAAAGAATCTGCCAAGTCAACTGGACAACCTCATACTCCTTCTGGATACAATACACCTGGCATCCCGGGCTCCCCACTTGGCCCTGGAAGCATGAGCCCCGCTACGCCAGGGTCGCGGAATCATAGTTACGCAGCGGGCCACAGATTGAGCGCTTTTGGGCCACAAGCAAGAAATACCGTCATTTACCACCAGGACTCCAGCCCTGGTCCCGATACTGATAATGAAATTCCAGCTGGTCTCAGCAGGAATCTCTCACTTGGTGTGCGGTCTGGTCCTGGCCATATGGGAGGTGAATCTCACGTGCCACGGAAATTACGAAAAAATAATGCCCCAGTGGGCGTACCGGAGAACGAACCTGAAAACGAACCGGAACCCGTTGGTGTGGCTGTGACCGCCGATATCGACGAGGAGAGCGATGATGACACTGCAGCACACTATTTTGGTGATGATGATGAATACACGCTGACGCGGGAACAAGCAGAGGCAGGTCGAGGAAACCAATTGGGTTTGTTAAGTCGGAACTTTCATAATGCCGATTTCAATGAACAGAGGACCCCAGGGACATCAAGACCGCCCTCGCCCTCCTCTGCAGATGGCTTCCTGCCGCCAAGTCGTCCCTTGCCTTACTCTGGAAACTTCCCCAGTTCTACCTCCGTTCTCTCTTTGGGATCTGTTGTTGGTAGTAAGAAAGATTTTAAGTTGCAGAAAGTAGATCCATTCTTCACCGACAGCAATGGTGAATTTTATAGGGCATTCGAGAAGAAACTGGAAGACCTTAATAGCGAAAATTCAGAAACCGATCTATGCATCGAGGGCTACTTGGTGAAAAGCGAAAAGAAATGGTTCAATCGATTTAGAAATGCTCGTTTGGGGCGCAATACCAATTCCGACAATCCCCCGTCATTGTTTCGTACCAAACGCGGGAGTGGTGTTTCCCCGGCTCCCTCTGAGTACGGTGAAGATCTCGAGTCTCGGGCTAGCGATTATGGGAAGGACGGCGATGAATTCCTGCTGGGTAACGACTACATACCTCCAACTGGCCTAGAAAAATGGATGCAGCTTCGAATCGGCGATTGGCCGGCTTACTCTTTCTTTCTTGCCTTTGGTCAAATAATTGCTGCGAACTCTTACCAGATCACGTTGCTCACGGGTGAGGTCGGCCAGAGTGCCACCAAACTATATGCCATCGCGACCACGTATCTCATCACCTCGATCATCTGGTGGTTCATTTTCCGCTGGTTCAAATCCGTTATCCCTCTGTCTCTTCCGTTCTTCTTTTATGGTCTGGCGTTCATGTTTATTGGGGTTGCTCGCTTCGCTGGGACCGAGAATGGGGTGGGTTGGATCCGGAACATCGGATCCGGGTTGTACGCTACGGCATCATCCAGCGGTTCTATCTTTTTCGCACTCAACTTCGGTGACGAAAGCGGGGCACCTGTTAAAGACTGGGTTTTTCGAGCTTGTGTCATCCAAGGCACCCAGCAGATATATGTGGTTGCCCTTTGGTACTGGGGATCAACGTTGACGAAAAATATTGCTGAGGGCGTTATTGAAGCCGATCCTATCGCGTCTTCATGGAAGCTGACGTAAGTTTATTCTTATCACATATTTACACATCGGGTCCCCTTAAAAGCATGAATTCCTCGAAAACATCACTGCTAACTGAGATGCAGCGCAATTGCAATCCCAATTGGGCTTTTCCTTTGGACAATCGGGCTGTTACTATTCTTTGGCCTTCCCAATTACTATCGCCAAACCCCCGGAAAAGTCCCCTCCTTTTACAAGTCCCTCTTCCGTCGAAAGATCGTGATATGGTTTTTCGTTACTGTCGTCGTTCAGAATTTTTTCCTCAGCGCACCCTACGGTCGAAACTGGGCCTGTAAGTCATCTTCCACTGTGCATGGTTGGTGATCTCTTGCTAATCTATATATGTACCTCAGTCCTATGGAGTTCCAAGCATGCTAAGCCATGGCATATTGTACTACTTATCTTGCTCTTTTTCATCGTGGTGTGGGCTGTACTGCTTGGTAAGGTTTCATTTCTACCTTCTGGCCAAGCATAACTAACGTCTCTACAGCGGTCCTGGGTTACCTATCTAAGGATCATAGTTGGATATTACCTCTCTTTGCAATTGGACTTGGTAGGTTGATAACTATGATACAGTTATAACGAATTCATGTTAAAACCCATCACTCACAATTTATTTAGGCGCTCCTCGATGGGCACAAATATGGTGGGGCACAAGTGGCATCGGCCAACACGTCCCCTGGGCAGGCGGCTATATCTCAGGAGCATTGATATCAAGAAGCCTATGGCTTTGGCTGGGAGTTCTTGACGCGATGCAAGGTGTTGGATTCGGCATGATCCTTCTACAAACGTTGACCCGACTCCATATCTGTTTTACCCTCCTTGCAGCCCAAGTTCTAGGTTCCATCGCAACTATTTGCGCCCGCACCTTTGCGCCCAACAAGATTGGTCCCGGTGATATTCATCCTGACATATCTGGAGGAATCAGCGCTATTGAGAATGCTTGGTTTTGGATATGTCTCTTTTGTCAATTAGCCATATGGTAAGCCCCCCCTCCCCCCCGGGGGCATTTCTGGCCCTAAGCAAGGTCACTTAGTGTAAGTGTGTTTTAACATTATTTCTCTAGTGCTGGATTTTACTTGTTCTTCCGAAAAGAACAGCTCAGTAAACCTTAATTAATATCTTAATCGTTTTCGCGTTATGGTTTCCCTTGAAAAGTCTTCTATTACTTCTTATCTGATATATGTTTATGCATCTGACCACTGGTTTTGGGGGTTAATATGCCAGTGACTGTAACTTATGCTGTTTTCTTTTTAATGGGCTTCTAATGTTTGGCGCGGTGATATTTTCAAGGCGTACGGAACGGGTTTGATATCTGTCTAATAGATTTTATTTATTTTGTGCTGCAATAACTACTTGTTGGCCTATTTACTTTAATGATTCTGATATGATTCTGATGTCCAATTATCTATGCACGGAGAAAAAAGGGTCTGCTCCAATGTTGATCTATGGGTTCTGCTTCCCTAGTAGTTGACGTTTATAGTCCCGCTCCTGCTCTGTGCCCGTTTTTAAAACCTGACTGTAGACGAGAAAAATGTATTGTAAGTATGTTAAATATTTGCTACGAAAGTAAAAATAACTGCGTCATGAATTGAAAGAACACACAGTACATCTACACCCAGCTCGCGGGCGTTACAGGCAACTGGCCTGATGCCTTGATCTAGCTTCGCTGTCACAACCTCATGCTCACACTAGTCTGAGACCCCCATTCCAGCACACCATGTCTGTGTGTGGGCCTGACCGCCCACTTCATCAAGACACACCTGGGCATGAAGGATATGTAAGTTTTCACCCATGCTTCATGGCTGCCTTGTTTCTTCATGAGCCAACTAACTCTCTGTTCAGTAACACATTTTGCCTTCCGGAGATCATCTACAATCCCACCCTGGTACTCAGTCCACATATCTTTCTCCTGGGGATGCTGTTCCACATCCAGTTGTTCAAGTCACTGAGCATCAAAACCACGGAGCAGCTGTACAGCCTGAGCATTCTGAATGAGCTCAATCAGCAGGAACTGTCTCTGCAGAATGATTTACTGAACAAGTTCATTATCTGCATGATGGTCTGTGAGGGAGATGATGTCTGAATTACACATGAGAGATGACTGATCACATCATCACTGTGAAATCAGATGAGAAAGAGTGATGAGATCACAGGCTTTGATCAGGTCACAAAGCTGTATATCCTCTGTGACAGAGCTGTGAAGACTTATAACAAGAGCTGTGAGTATTCATCTATTCTCTTATTCTTCTGATCACTCTTCTCTCTATCTCACTTATCACTTCTGAAGTGATGTGTTAATGTTGACATTGTCAGATAGCAGATATAAGTGATTTTCTTCAAAATCTGATACTTCAGTATATCAGTATTAATACATTTATCAAACACTATCTGGATTGAAACATCACTGCTGATGTTCTCAGCATCTATCATGATCTTGAGCTGCAGAAAGTGCTAATGAGAATGATGTACTCAATGAGCTGATTCATTGATCCCTGCTGTTTATGAAAGCTGACACTGAAGCAGTTGAGATCAGTGAACAATCTGTCTCACATTCTGAAGATCTCTTGAAGAGTTGAATATCTGAAGAAACATCATGACTCTGCTGCAAGCTGGCTTCATGACAGAATCAGACAGAGGTACTGATGAAAGACTGAGATCAATGACTGATGAGAGAAGAGATACAGATACTGAGTTGAGGAGTACAAGAGATGGAATCAAAGGCATCACAAAGTCATTCACTGACTCCACAGTGCAAAGCAGTGTGTGAGAACACTGCTCAAGTATGAGATTCTGAATCAGTTCTGACAGAAACAGCCAGTGATTAACAGTGAGTGACAGCTATGTGAAAAGATGATTGATGAGTATATTAGAAGTGAACTGGAGCAGTACATGTCACCTGAGCTAATGATAATGATTGATGCAGTCCTGATGTTGTCATCAACCACTTCAGCAGTAGAACTACAACAATGGATCAGGGCCATCCACGCGATCTCTGCATACTGCAGTGTTGAGGAAGGCCCCATCTGCCATCGGCGTGGCTGTGGCTCCAGCCCCAAGCCAACCACACCGAAACTGATCGCCCACAAGGCAGAAGCGATTGGCCAACCATCATCAGACAGACTGCTGGAGTCAGCCGCTTGAGCGGTCCGGATGGAACACCAGCCTCATGCTGTCGGATCGGGTCTATTCATTCCGTCAACCGGGAGACTCTCAAAAGAGTGTGACAGGAGAGACTCTCTAAATATACATTCTTTAGTGGCCAAACTTAATTTGTGAAAACAACGGACTTGAGAGTGTAATGCTAGAAATATCTCATCTACGTCGCTTCTTTGCTAGTCGATCAATATCCCGTATAGAGTCTAGAAGCTTTTTGTCAGGGATGAGTCTCCTCTCAGCGGTTAACTTCCTTCCCTCCTCCTCAGAGAGCAGGAAAATTCTGTTATTTCCGTCCGCAGTTGCTGCCCGGAAGCACTGGGCAGGGCTGAGGCTCTGTATGTTCATATCATACAAGGAAAACTTCTTACATGTGTTCTCTGATGCAGCTCGTTCAACCGGGGAGTGGTCCAAGGGATCTACTTCAAGACACTCAGTTCGTCTCCACTGGCCACGCGTTAAGGACCAGAAGGAGATTTTAACTCTACGGGGCAAAGGAATTTCGGCTTCTACTGTTGGCCGGTCACTGGGCGGTGGAGTATCGCTGCTACGGTCATTCTGATCAGGCATTGATATGTTACCAAGATCTAGCTGGGTCACTGGCCGTTCTGAGAGGTCCCTTGCTGGTGGATGTCTCTGAGGGGTTTCCAGCCAGGGCCCGGCCGGTTGGTTCAACTCCTGTTTGAGCTGCTCCTGCTCCCACTCTTCATCCAGCCTCTCTTGTTCTTCGCGAGAACACTCAAGTCGGGCAAGTAATGACTGCCTGCGGTCATGCTCTTCCTGCCGGAGGCATTCCTCTTCACCTTGTTCCAGCACATCCTCTTCTACTTCCGCTGGTTGTGATGTCTCAAGTTGCTGATCAATTTGTAGATCTTCGACACCGGTCTCTGGTTCGTCATCAGGAGTTCCCGCGCTCATCTCATCACTCATAGCTGGCTGTCCACTGGATGAGTCCGGCTCAGCAAGCGGCTGCCCCTAGGACAATTCTGGCTCTGGCGGCTTACCCAAGACCACATGGCCATCTGCTCCGGCTCGGGTGGGTCTAGAGGTGCCGGGGGGGTACCTTCTAGCTGTTGCACGCCACGCTCTGCTCTCCGTAGTTCTGTTTCCTCTCTGTCCAGTTCCCGAACCTGCTCTCGTCCTGGTAGCTCCCGCTCAGAACTACCATCTAGAATGAACAATGGTGGGATAGGAACATCGGAGAGATCATCATCATTGGATTGGGATGGCAAAAACTTTTCAAAGAAGGCCAAATAAACACAGCGGCGGATGAAGAATGTGTGATGTTATCAGCAACTGGCACTGCGTCAGCATGTAAATGATCGAGGAATAGGAAGAAAGTATCTTGCTTGTGGGTTCTCATTCGTGGTATGCCGCACCGTGCCCGGTGTTTCACAGTACTATCAGCGAGGAGCTCACATGCCTGGTCAGGTTGGTCAGGGACTGCAGCTGAGAAGCAGTTGACAATTCAGTCAATGAGTGTATCAAGAACGCGAGCGGCATATTTGAAGTGTGCTGGTTTCCTGGCCTGCAACAGGGCGGCTCGCGCAATTTGCTGGTCAGGAGACTGGTTCATCAACACTGTGATCTCTGAAGAGCGGAATCCCAGCTGATATGCCAGTTCAGCCATCTCATAGACCGCACACTCGTCAGCTTTGACACGGTTTGGTTTGGCTAACAGCTCATCTTCACTCTTTAGATCGGGCGGCATCAAAGGGTAGTGCGGCATCGCATACAGCCAGACCTGTCGGTATGCCAGATCAAGACATTCCTTGCTTCCCGTGCGCGTTTGCCGGAAGATGAACTCCGATGTTTGAATGGGACAATCCGCCTGCATCTCGGGGGGCGTAATGAACATATGCCGCATGATGCTCCAGATGGAGCTTTCCAGATGCCCGCAGAGTTATTTCACGCAGTGGGCACAGCTTTCCAAGTACTTGAAGTCCTCAAAGAACATGTACAGGGATGGCACCAGTCCACCGAACACTTTCATTTGAGTCCAGATGGCCATTCGCTCGCTTTCACTGAAGCCTGCAAAGGCCTGGCTGCTCAGCACAAGCTCACACGCCGCTTTCGCGTCGACGCGAGATGCGCCGGGTGCCATCAACTCTAGTCTCTCCACATCATCCTGGCTTATCTTTTCCATCGCGCCGACGTCATGGTTGACCCAAGCTGACCAAGTCTCCTTCACGAATCCAAGGTAGGCGACTATATGCTGGCGAATGTCAGAAGGTGATACCACCAGGTCATGGGGACGTATCTCAATGCAGTTGATAGCAACCAACTGATGGACCATACTGATCCGCATTCCACCATTCCAGAGTCCCGGGATGACCAGCAACGCATCAAACACCTGACGGAGTTGGCGGTTCCTGGGGCTGTTCAGCTGCTCAAGGCGCTCTCGATTGCTCTTTGATAAACATGCAATCTATCGCTGCTGAAACACTTCGTTGTGCTCCCCCTCATACTGACAGATCTTTCGGTATACCTCCCCGTCTGTGGGCTTTTTCTGGTTCGCGTACTCCTCTATGAGGGCCGTCTGGAGGTCGTCGCTGACATCTGCATACAGATGAAGTGATCAGCGTCACAGGCGATGAAACCAGTGGGCGGTAGAAATCCTACCGTCCAAGGTACAGGTCCACCGTTCAGGTACAGGTCCACCGTCCACCAACGGTCTATGGGGGCGAGGAGTTCGGACCCGACTTGGACGCGGTGTGTCGCAGGCCCCGCAGCTGTCCTGCACGGAATTGAAGCATGGGGCCTGGATTAGTCATCAAGGCTTGGCGCGGCTTCCCTTCTTTTGGCCGTTACGGCCGTTGCGGCTAGCGATCTCCCTAGATCACGTGACCCACCACTTATATTAAGCTCTTTGTAGATAGATCTATTAATACAACCTTTAACTATTCTACAGGTTATAAGACTGTTAAGTGTCAGCCCTGCTGTGGTCAACATGTATAGACTGACTGATAGAATTATAAATTTCATATTTAATCTTATTTAATCTAATTTTATATATTTCTTAATATAAGTTTTATTAAAACTGCAGTATATATTATCTGTAGTGTATACTGATGTGATTCAAAGGTTGCTTAAGCCAGCGTACGATTACAGGCGTACGCCGGCTTCTTATATATTGAATCTCGTACGCTAAATTAATTAGTGGCCGCTAGGGCCCCCTTTACATTCGTACGCGTACGCTAGTAGTTCGGAAGCGTACGCGTACGCTAGTAGTTCGGAAGCGGCCGCGTTATTATCCGACGGTCGTACGTTCTTCCGAACCACATCCTCCCCCACCAGATTCGGTCACGCCCACGTGACCATGTCGTACGCCCTAGCTTCATGCGGATTAGCTCGCCACTAGCGTTTCGCGATCGTGTGGCCTATCCCTGATTCGGCTAGCGTCCCGCGTACGCCCTCACAAAGAAACTTCCACTATATTACACCACTCATCCACTAACTTTTCCCATCCTCCAACCATCTTCTCCATCATCATCATCATCGAACGCCACTATCTCATCCAAGATTCCTACCCCTCCTCCTGTCCAACTCTTTCCATCTGTCCACCTATCACATCGTACGCGTTCCTGACAATGGCCCCCCGTTCCCACAACAAGCGTCATCGTAGTGCCCATACCGGGCAGTTCGTTAGCAGTAAGTGTAACGCGTTGTGGAACGTGGTCAGGACTTGTTTATCTTCTAACGATCGCCAGAACGACGTATTACCATGGATGATGACACACCTTCTCCACCTCCTCGTACGCCCTCGACCGTTTCTTCTTCTCAGCGGGTTTCTGATCGTGTTTCCTGGCACGATTTTGCGTGGACGCAGATGCTGATGTTTGTTTTTTTATTCGCGTAGAATCTTCACGCGTTGACAGATCCGCGTCCGCCGATGATAGTGAACCCAGTGTTGAATCATTGGTCGAGAACTTGGAGGACGCGATAATGGAGGAATTGCCCGTGTCATGTGTGGCCGGGTCTCCAGCGTCCCCCCCTGCCCCTTCTGCCGCTCCTTCCTCTGCTGCTCCCCCCTCTGTTCCTTCCTCTGCCGCTCCCCAATCTCCTACACTTGCCCCTGTGTCTGGTTCTCCCGCTCCCGCTACCCCTGTTCCCGCGACCCCTACTCCCGCTACTCCTGGTTTTGCCGCCTCTGCCTTCGTTACTAGCTCTCCCCGTTTCAAGGAGATGTTGCGTAGACTCGGTGAACCACGTCTCCCAGCGCGTACGCTCCCGCCCTTCTTGCCGACTCCTAGAACGATTTATTGCACGAAGGCGGCGTACGACACGACTATCTGGAGCTCGGTCGCGGACGCCGATTATTACGTTCGTTTTAAATATTCGTGGTGGGGCAATCGTCCATTTGTACCAGAGAATCACCCCCCCCCCCAACAGCGTCTAGATCGTAAGTCTTTTCATTTTTCATCTTTTTCTTCTGACGCTGATTTTCCTGTTCTTAGGGGAAATCGTTATGGGTTTTGCTGTGCACGAAGTCGTGGCGTCCACAGACACCAAGGAGCTTTTTACGACCGTAAAGTTCAACATCGCGGGGACATCCGCTCTGGCGAATTCTTTCGGGATGATAGATCCGTATCGGCCTATCCTCTGGCGTCTGTCGTCCGACTTCGTGGTGCAGGCAAAAGATATCCGTGTTTTCGGGAACGGGAACGCGGATGTCGTTCTCTTTTACACCCGCGGGCGTGAGGCTCGTACGCCTTGTCTGGGATGTCGTCGTGGGAATGGGCCGTTCGCACGCTGCGTTCTGCTTCCTGCATTCCCCCGTGTCCCCCTCTCTCTTCCTGAGGAGCCTCGTGCGTGTTGTAATTGCGCGTACACTACTAAGGCCAGCGGGTGTTCGTTCAGTAACTGTTCCCACCCCTGATTCTGCGGTTTCGTACGCTAACAATAGTTATTAGTGCTCCGGCGCCAGAGGCCATTTTAATCGAAGATGACAACGCCGCTGAGACTACCCCCTCCCGCCCCCAAGCTCCTCCCGTCGCTTCCTCTCCCTCCCCTGCGGAGAAGGTTGTGCGCACACCGGGTCGTAAGCGTTCGGCCCCGGGTGGCTCCCGCCGTCGTTCGTCCGGTCCTGCGCCTCCTCCTTCTGTTTCTTCCGCCTCCGCCCCCCCTGCCCTGGCTCCTGGTCCTGCGGGTCCCGCGCTCTCCTCCAATTTCTCTACGCGTACGCGTACGCATTCCTATATTGGCATTCCAGCCAATCTTGCGATAAATGACATTAATGTCGTACGCAGAGCGGTAGAGGAATCGGAGGCGTGCGCGGTGTTGTTGCGAGAGCGGCTTGCGGCCCTCGAATCCCTTGCGGACCTCGAGTTTTGAGATTTCCTTTGTTTTTGGCGTTTTTCGGGTGGCGTGGTGTTGGAAATAGATTAAACGTGTGGCGTATGAAAATGGATGGGGTGTGTATGATAACATTTGTCTTTTTGCGGCCGACCCTTACGGTTGGTGACCAATCCATTATCCCTTTCCTTTTTCTTACGCTTTTCCTTTATCTGCTAGCCACTACTCTTACGCGACCTCTATATGGTACAGCGTTCGGTGACTAGGTTCGGCAGCTTCCACCTTTGTGATTCTGCCTCGCGCATTATACTGTCTCTCTTCGCCCGCTCAGACCACTACAGCGAACGGCCCATCGAAACTAACCTCGCCCGACCTCTGAGCGTCCCCAGGGGTCGAGATGGCTTGGTCCCACGCGTCCGCGGATGTTTCAGATAGTTCGTCCTCTGTGGTCTCCGCGATTGAACTGGTGTAAACAGTCGAATCCAACTCTGGATTCCTTTTTCTTCTGCGACCTGACCCACGTGCAAGTCTGCCACTTTGAGACTGCCCTTTGCCGTGTTGCACCCGCTGTCTGCGGCGCGTTATCGTACGACCGGCTACAGTCTCATCACTTATTGGAGTGTGGCGTTCGCCTGATTTCTCCATTTCTTCCCATTCTTTCCTTGTAATCGTGGAAAGGTCGGAATAAGTGAGATCATCTGGTTCGTAAGCGTCTATGATTTCTCTTACTTCGTGAGGCTTTTCAATTGTAAGCCCCTTCTTTTTCAACACTGACAATAGTGCTGCGGATGACCATAATCCGCTCAGGTCTTGCACCTTTGCTTCCACAAGTTGTGAATCATTGATTAAGTTGCATAAGACCCGTCCCTCTGGTTCTTCCAATGCGTACGTTCCCAGAGGATGTGATTTGAGTATCTTATATGGCCCAAACCACCTAGGTTGGAACTTCTCAGGACCCTCATTGCGTACGAGAACCCACGTTCCCACCTTGAGACTCGATTCCTTAACAAGTGAGTCTCGTATTCTTTTCGATTGGATTGCTCGGTTCAGGAGTAACTCGTTAGCTTTTGCGCGTGTGTGGCTGATCTCTTTCAATCTTGGTTCCGCGTCCGCGACTGTTGCGTCCGCAACTGCTATTCCTGCTGCGTCCGCAACTGTTGTTCCTGCTGCGTCCGCAACTGCTCCCTCCCCCACCTTTTCTGAAGCATCCTCCGGGATGCGCGGATGCAATCCATACAACAGGTAGAATGGTGAATGCTTGGAGACTGCATGCTGTCGAATCTGCGTGGCCAACAGCGCCTGCCCGAGATATTCATCCCATAGTCTCGTAGGCTTGCCCACTAGATATTTCGTCAGCATGTTGCCCAAGATTCCATTCAAGCGTTCCACCTTCCCGTTCGTCCGCGGATGATATGGCGTTGTTCTACGATGTCTTGTCTGTAACTGGCCCACGAAATGCCTCACTGCTCCTCCCATGAGGTTTGCACTGTTATCAGTTAGGATCTCGCGCGGCATTCCATAGTTGACATAGATCTCATCATGTAGGAACTTCGCCACCACCTCCTCTGTCGCCTCTGGAACTGCTTTCGCGACTGGCCAGCCAGTAGCGTAGTCAATAGCAGTGATTATCCATCGATTTCCATTTGGCGTTCGCGGCAATATGCCTATGAGGTCCACCCCCCATCGTTCGAATGGTTGTATCGTACACTCCACCTGATGTTGTGCTTTCTCGCGTTCTAACCCTTTCTTAGATCCTTTCGCGACCTGGCAATTCGGGCACTCGTGAGTGTACGCCTGGATGTCCTCGGCCATGCTTGGCCAGTACGCTCTTGGTTTGAGTACGCCCATGAGTCCAGGGCTTCCTAAGTGGCCGAATTCCTTGTGCATGTGAGCCATCAAGTCGCGACGAAATGGAGGTTCTAGATAGGGAGCTTCTGCGTATCCTAGATCGCGGTAAAGCACAACGTCGTTTTCCAATTTCCCCAGCTTGAAGTTCAGAAGCATCTCTTCTACTACTTTCGCGAGACGCTTGTCATCTGACACCTTGCCATCCTCCAAGCGAGAGATCATGGCGTCCACCCATTCTGATTCCTTGCATCCCCTCAGCGCGTTTAATGTGAATGTCCCTTGTGCCTGGTTCGCAGGACCCTCACCCATGAAATCGGGTCTGTGACTGATTGCGTCCGGCACCACTGCGTCCGATCCCTTTCGGTATTTGATATGGAGATCGTACGCTTGGAACTCCGAGATCCAACGTGCTAAACGTTTGGAAGGTTTTGTTGTTGATTGTAGGTAGACGAGGCTTTCGTGATCCGTGATCACCGTTGTCGTATGCCCGTTGTCGATATATCTATCTCACAACGCCAGCGCGTGCTTGATCGCTAGCAATTCCTTTTCATGCACTGGGTAATTGAGCTCGGCGCCCGATAGTTTCCTACCATTGTACGCCACCGGGTGCAGCTTGCCGTCCTTGCCCATCTGTAGAAGGGCGCCTCCGATAGCCCATTCGGATGCGTCCGTCTCAATGTAGAAAGGTTTATCACGATCTGGTTGAATAAGCACTGGGGATGTTGTTACGCATTCTCTCAGTGTGAGAAAAGCCTCTTCGCACGCGGCATTCCAGATGATTGAATGAAACTTCTTCTTTCGCAGATTTGCATCTGTTTCTCTTAAGAGATCCGAGAGTGGTGCAGATATTCGTGTGAAATCCTTGATGAACCTGCGGTAATATGAGGCCAACCCAAGGAACTGTCGTACATGGTGTATGTTCCTCGGCCGCGGCCAATTCGCTATGACATCCAATTTCTCCGGGATGGGGCGTATACAGCCACCACCCACTACATGTCCCACGAACTCCAACTCTTCTGTTCCAAACACACACTTGGTTGGTTTGGCGTAGAGCTTATGCTCTGCCAGAGTTGTAAGCACTTCATCGAGGTGCTTCAGATGTTCGTCGTATGAGTTTGAAAAGACTAGGATGTCATCAAGGTATACGAGGCATGAGGTTCCATTCTGTTTATGAAGGATTGTATTCATCATTGTTTGGAAGGTGGCGGGCGCATTTGTCAGACCGAATGGCATTGCTAGGAATTCGAACTTCTCCCATTGTGTATTAAACGCGGTTCGCGGGACTGACAGTTCGCCTACGCGGATCTGCCAGTATCCTGAGAGAAGATCGATCTTTGATAGATATCGGGCGTTTCCGACCGTATCCAACTGTTGTTGGATCCGTGGCAGTGGATATCCATTCTTGATCGTAAGCTTGTTGAGTGCTTGATAATCGATACACATCCGCCACTCTCCACCCGCCTTTTTCACGAATAGGACTGGAAAGCCCCACGCGCTTGATGAAGGTCGTATGAGACCACGTTCTAGAAGGTCGGTGATCTGACGCTTCTGTTCTTCGAGGTGCGTTTGTGACAGGGGGTACGCGTTCTGGTTGACTGGTTTTGCGTCCCCCGTGTCAATCTCATGTACGAATCCTCGTTCCGGCGGCAATTCCGGTGGAAGATCTGTTCAGAAGACCTTCCCATGCTTCTCCAGAAGCTCCTTCATACGCTTATCCTCCCGCATATCTTTTATCTTGGTTTCCTCCGCTTCCGGGTCCCGTATGACATACAGGATGCTTTCGGATGAGGTCTTGCGAATCGTTCTCTTCGCTTGTTGGTGCGTAAGCAGATTTAACCCTTCTATACCAGGGGCGTGGAATGTCCTTCTCATATCAGTTGGTAGGATCGTATGAACCATTTTCTTCCTATCGGTCAACTGCATATGGCATGTATGCCATTGGATCTGCGGGTTGAACCTTTGGAACCAATCAAGTCCGAGAATAAGGTTGTATTCCACGTTCTGCAGCTCTCGCGCCCAAATATAGCAAGACCATCCTCCGAAGTGCAAGGGAACTCTTACTCTTGCAGGTGATATCAAATATCAGTTATCAGGTAATCTTATGCGTCGGGGATCCTCCACTCAGCGGATCCCTTTCAATCTTCAGATCATATGATCACCAATATATTGCGTAGAAGCTCCTGTGTCCGCTAACACTTTTGCAGCCACCTCTCGATTCTTACCCAAGTGCCCCCTATACATTAACATTTCGGGCCCCAAGGCATTGAGGTGGGCGTCCACTTCATCATCCTCGCCCGCACCCCATTCAGGAGCCTGCTTCTTCTTTGCATTCACAGGATCCAGAGGGTCATCTAACGCGGGCATCTCTTTCACTTTGGAGGCTTTCCATAGGATATCAGCGAGTGCCTCCGAGCTCACTGATCCTGCTAGTTTTTTGACTCCCTTGCTTCTCTTGACTGCGCACGCTGGGTGCAATCTTTTGCACCATGATTTTGGCGTCCGCAGTTGAAGCAAGCTCGATGCTCGCGACACCAAGGTTTCCACCCAGGGGATCCCTTTTTCGGGGGATTCGGCGCTTTAGCGATGGCATTCAGATCTAGATCCATCGCGTCCGGGTGTGTGGCTTGTGTCGTAGGAGTCTGATTACCCGTTCTCCGCTGGGGCATACTCGATTGCAGTATTTTCTGTCGCAATTGGCTCGCTTGTTCCCGTACGATGAGGATGTTGTATGCTTCCTCCACTGTGCCTGGCTGTGAGGTTAAGCATTTCCATTCCGCTCTCAACTCGGGTGTAAGACCATGGATGAAGATCTGTAAACAGAAAGGTGTTGGAAGCTCTTCATCCAACGCGAGATAGTGTAAGCTGAAGTGTGTGAAGTACGATGTAAGATCGCCCACTTGTCTACACCCAGTGAAGCATTCATAACGCTTGTCTCGCGTGTTCACTTCCTCAAAGTTGTGCAAGATCCACTTGGAAAACTCATTCCATGTTCGTGGGAATGGATATCGCTCCGGGTCTGCGAGGTTCATCTTTTCACCAGTCATCCATAATGACTTCGCTTTTCCGCGTAGGAACGCGGCAGATCTTAAGACTTGTTGGAATTCTGTTGGCTGCCTGCCTGTGAGTTCACGTTCGATCCAATAATATGATCGCATCTGACTTAGCCAGCTGATTGCAGCATCATTTTTTCG